AAGATCCAAAATAAACAAGACTGCCTCTGAAAATCCAAAGGAGCAACAAGCCTTACTGAGACACTGGACATATTAAGTGCCTTTTAGATGTTTCTAAATTCAAAGGCTTTTGAATATGGGGGATAAATAAACCAGTTCTTGAAGAAGAGGCCAAATGCAGACTTCAGATCTGGATCAGAGATATTAAAATGAGGAATTTAAAGCAGGACCATTAAAGTTCTATCTGGTGCTGCTAAGAAACATTTAATAGTCTCATACAGAAGACATGAGCTCTACATTACAAAATTCCTTCACCAGCAGTGCAGGAAAGCCTTTGTCATCAATTATTTGGGTATATGTAATGCAGCCCAGGAACAGTGGTATGGATTAGACGATATTCCTGAAATCTCTTTCCAAAATGTTGTTCTACATGAGCTATATATTATTTCTATATGGCTTTATATTATTTCATCTTAATTCTCTTAGAACAATGACCAGAAATAAAGAAAACCAGTCTGCCTTCTGCAATTGTAAACCTTGCCTAATACATGTCCTTTTGTACAATGGGCACAAAGGCAGAAGCAGAGGAAACTTCCCAATTTCCAGGTAAAATCTCCAGCTTTTGAGTTTGAAAAGGCATTCCTAGAAATTCCAAGTAATTGCAGTACCATTCGTTAAAGGCTGATATCAAAACAGAACATTTCAACTGACTAAACGGATCTTCATCTCCAATTGGCAAAAAGTTTCCAAGCACAGATCTTTGCTGTTCCATATATCTGGCATACAACAGACAGAGTGATGTGGCTTTTTGGGAATCGCTAGAAACGCGTTTGACAGTCTTACTCTAAAATTAAGCAATCCCTAAGTGCTGACTGGGACTATTGTGACAGGGAAGAGTCTTAGCAGAGGATGAAGGTGCAGAGTGAGTGGGTTAAAGGAGGCCATCTCAGCAGCCTTCTGCCTTGCTGCCACAGTCAGGATAAACATCGCTGCACACTGCCACTGCCCACAGCTGGCACATTAGTATCCACTGAGCTGTGAGTGTGCCCAGGCAGGATTTGCGAAGAAAAGCACCTGACATTTGCCTTTCAGAAGCCTTCTGCTCAAGAGAAGGGTTTGTGGTAACAGGCATTTGCTCTAAGGAAGGCCAAATTAAAAAACCACAAAAAGCCTAACAAACATTTCCAAAAGAAAAGAAAAATCCAAAAAGGTAACATTTAATTATTAAACAAAGTGTTCAATGTTTTAAAGACTGAAATGGGCTTTTTGGTGGTCATTCCTGTCACACTACTGTGGCATCAGAACTTGTGCACAGTCCCTGAGCTGATACCTGCTTCCTTCACGGCCCCAAACACTGTCACTTTTGCTTTAGGTAAGATGGGCTTCTCTAGTAAGGGTGATAAGTGCCAGCTGGGAACATAAGCTTCTTACAGCTCTTTCTACATATTTCATGGGCTATTGTTGAGGGCAGGGGTGTGCTTCTCACAGACGATTGCCATGCTAAACTGAGCTGAGCAAAATAAACACCATTTTCTTACACAATCACAAAATGATGAACAAAGATGAAAAAAACAGGAAATATACACTGAAAAAAAAAAAAAAAAAAAAAAAAAAGAGAGACAAATAAAGAGAAAGGAGATTCTACTTGGAAGAAAGTTGCTGATTGCCCCTGGGTCACCTTGCACATTAAGTGAGCTTCGCACACCTCTGCTACACCTTGTGTCATTTGGCTGTGAGATCTGCCTGAATGTCACTGCTCACAGAAACCTGGGCAGCTCTGAAAAGACAAGACGTTTTGGATGAAAGCGCTGCATCTGCTCCTCCAACAGTGCTGACAACCATCTTTGCAGAGTGTCACTACAGTTGTTGACAGCCTGCTCTGCTGCTCCTTCAGATGCTTTGCCCCTTTTCCCAAGCCAAGAAGTGATACACTCGGTAAGGAAGCAGAAAAAGTTGGTAAGAGAAAAGTAACATGATGACACAATCCATTAATAAGTCAAACGCCTCTCTGCTCTCTCCCTCACAGGACATTTACAAAGCCCAAGACACCACTGGAACAGCTGAGTATGGTGGGATTACTCCTGTGTGCACATTTTTGCCAAACTACATCCAAAAGTCACTTTCCTCTAGTTCCACAAGGCATCTTTTCATGTATTGGACAAATATACCTGACTCTAAGCAGGTCCAGTGTCCTCTTGAACATTAATGCCAAGTTAGACACTCTTAGATTGAGTAAAGCCCGTGAGCTGAACGTCTGGTTGAAATGCTGAATAGAAATACACATGGTTGTAATCCATGTCTGCTGCTACCTTTTGTTTGTTTTTCCAGAAAATCACAGGATGTCTGATGCTTTCGTCACATTTCACCAACTGATTTGTGTCAGTAACCTCTGTAAAACTCCAGCTACGCTTTAAGCAAAGCTGATGTAAGTCCCCTAGGATTAATTACCTCGCTCAGAGTCCAATTTATTTAGCAATTAGGAAAAATTAGACAGTAGCTGGTGAGTTTGCTGTTTTGAAATGAAAGGCCAGAGTCCTTAAGTCTGTTCCCAGGCTAAATGCTAGGTTTAGAAATTCATTATTTGAAAGTCTCTAAACAAGTACTTTACACTTCAATCTTTTTGCACCATTTACCCTCTAAATAACTTCTCTGTTCAAACTGTGAGCATATTAACAAAAAAACCCCAAACAAACAGGAATACAATTTGTTTATATGATAGTTTTCAGCATCAACTTTTTTTCTCACACTGAATTCGTCAAACCGGTAACAATGGTCTCGGGAAATGAATTGTGATGCTGTGCTAAATGTGACACCATTGGGGAACCACCAGTCAACGCCATCGGACCATGTCCTATGCAGAAATTCAACACCAGAATCAGGTGCTCTCTACAAAATAATGGGTACTTTGAAATGCAACATAACGGAGAGTAATTCAATAAATGGATGTCACATACAGGCTGCAGGGAAGGCTCTGTCAGTCTCTGCAAGCCTCCCGGTGTCCTGTTCCCAGGAAGAGGAGACCCACAGGTTGCAAAGCCCCTGGGCTGGGCAATGCTGGGACAAGGAAAATCCCAGCTGTGCACAGAAAGACGAATGCCTGGGCCGTACCGCAGCCCGGCCACCCCAGGGAGCTGCTCCTTCAACACATCTACATCGGAAGTCATGAGAGACTCGAGTTTTTGAGAAAAGTCACTTTGGGACTTCTTACACAGTGTCTGCAGCTGGGAAATCCTCCAGCATATACCTGATGGCTTTAGAGTCCTTCCGCTACTGCCCCAGCCCTTGCTGTAGCAGGCCAGGTTACCAGGAGAGGTACTGAGGCTCCAAACCCACCTTTTCACTTTCACTCTGCCTCTGGCTGTAAGAGCAGCTCTCAGGACCACTGGATTCATTGACTATTCAATAACTTCTACTCAACAACTACAAAGCACTGCCTTTCACAGCACATGCAAATCACACCATTTCACAACACTACTAGTATTTTCTGAGAAACAGCTTGACACACATAGCACAGTTACTTGGAGCACAGTCGATGAACAACTGCTGTAGAGAAGCCACGTACCGAGCATGAAGTGCAGATCCAGAGAGCCTGGAGTTCTCAGGGCTCCAATGCCAACTTGACTTGAGTCAGTGGGGATAGGCAGCTCTGCAGCAGCTGAGGTTTTGCCCTAAAGGAATATAAATATTTGCATATCATGTTGCTTGATTAACTCACTAGATAACGTGAGACAGCTGAACAAAGTCTAGAAGAGATCATACACATTCCTAATGTAAAGCTTGCAACAGCTCTCTTTAGTGAACTAGCTTTTCTTAAGAGACATTGGAGGTTTATGTGGCCCATTTTAGGGATCTTTTAGATGTGATTCTGAGGTACACTGCAAGTTCACTTTGCCTCTCCCTATACTTACATTTTTTGTGACAGAATTCAACAGACTGTATCTGATTTCCTTGTTGTTCATCTGACTGCACCCTTTCAGGATATTAAAAATTTCTTAATGGCTTTTCACCTTCTATACTGACGGTTAAAAATAAAGTCAAGCAAAGTATTTGCTGTGAAATTCTCCATGCTGTCTGCTGACTCCAGACAGTGCGGACTCTCTGGTCTTCCACAAATTTTCTGGAAGAAATGTCACATTAGTGGCCCTTCTACCCCAGACATACTTCACATTATCAGATTTCTTTCCCTATCTCCTTCTTCCAGAGATAAGTGCCCATTAGCTCATGAAAGGTGAGTCCTGTGAGTGTGCATTGTAGGGCACATATTTTAAGTCTTTTGCAAACCTTCTAGACTCTTCCTGACCTTCTACAGACTCCTACGGTCTCATCTGTCAGGGACTATTGCATCTTGGAAAATGTCAGCTAATGTGAATGAGACTGAGGGTGCAGGAGAGGACGGGGACTCTGCTGTGCATTTCCTTTCCTTCTGGAGGACTGGGAAGCAAGAGCACTGCTCCCTGAGTGCAAGTGCTTCAGAGCTATGAGAAGGCAGCATTAGCAAGGACACCAACTCCTTAAGGATTCAATGCCACTTTTCCACTCTGAGTAATTCCCTGAGAGGGCAAGGAAAGCTGTCAGGGGTCTCCGATTTATTGCTATTCAACGTTTGACCCTCTTTCTGCAAGAGCTGACGCAGCTGCAGTCCTAAAGACAGTAGCCAGGGAGAGATCCACAAAGGTCCCTGGGAAAGTAGTTCGCCCTGCTTCCTCCCTCTCCTCACCACTGGCAGGTTTGTATTTCGCTTCTGTGTCATCTCAGGTGTATGTAGCCACTGCCTAACACAGACAGAACTCAAAGAGCAAGTGCAGATCAGGGTTTTACACCTTCCAGGCTCAGACTTGGTAACAAAGCCACTCCGCCAATTCGATGTATTCAGGGGGTTTAAAGCAGAAAGAAGGGCTGTGCTCTATTGTCTCCGTATTGCACTGCCTCTTTAAAATCAGAAATGCATGGACAGCATCAAGGTGCCTCCCACTAAGAAAAGGCTTTAGCTGCAGGCACAGAGGCAGCGGAGCCATCCTCCCCTGAGCAGCAGGGCAAACCTGCTTGGGAGGGAAGTGATCATTCAGTGAAGTCCTCTGGCTGCTTTCAGCCATCCTCTCTGCTCCAGTGACAGCAGCACTTTTTCTGCAGGGGAGAAACCTGGAGGCTATTCCCAGGGTGCCCGACACCTCCAAGAAGATGAGAGCAACTGCAGGTACAGTTAGCTGGCTGATGGTGTTTTGTCAGTTTGTGGATGGTTGTGTTGTCTGCATTTATTTTAAAGCGCTCTCTTGGTATTTTGCAGGGAAACCTGATGAAACAGATACTGCACCTTGCTTTGATCAACATATAGATTTTTGCACCCAAGTATTTATTTGGTACTTCTCTTAAATGAATGTTCACATTTCCAGGCTGCCCTGGGGCTGCCTTGTAAAGCAGTCAACTGTTTGAGCTGTTATTTAGTTTCAAGCTTTGGCTTTCTGTTATTCTGCAACACTCAGTCTGAAAAGCAACGTGGGGACAGAAGTTGTACAAGAGAGTTTCTCTCAGAAATGGATTAAGTGTTGGTACATCAGGGGCTGAGGGTGGTTCCAGGGAAAGAAGGGAGCAACAGCTCCACTGTGCAGATTGTCCTTTGCAGCTATGACGGATATTGGTCAGTAGCATTTGACACCCCAAAGACCTACTGTCTCAAAGCAGAGAAAGCTTTAATGCTCCCTGATACTCTTTTGGGGTGTGGTGGGACTGTCCTGACAGCTGGGAGTCTGCTGTGAGGATTCCCAGGTGTGGCACGGGAAGATGCAAGACAGACCCTTCAGCATTTTGATACAGAGTAGAGGCAAAATTAGGGAGTAGATCAGATTTTTTTCCTCAGTGTGGAAGATAAATAGTTTTTTAACATCTGGTACAGCTGGCAGCACAAAGCAGGGAGCCTCCTCCTCCCTCTCTTCAAAAATTCAAGGCATTTTGTCTTGCTTAAGGAAGATTTTCCCTTTCACTTCAAGAGTCTGTCTGTGAATCCACTCTCCGTGTGAATGGCAGATTTGCCTTCACAGCAAAGCCCTACAAGGTGGTTCATGGGACAAAATCTTCTCTGTGCAAATTGGCAGAGCCTCACTGGTTTGAGAGAAGCAATAATAGATTATGCTGGCTGAAGATGTGGTCCCCCTACTCAATTGATGGCTGTCAAAGGAACTGCTGCCTTCACTATTTTCTTGGGTCTTGGCAACTCTTACTTAATTAAGAAATGCATTTAGAAGCCAGGACATCAGTTCTATTTTCATTCTCACCTACCACATCACTCTGAGACATCTAGAATAAAGCAAAAACTTTGTCCAAAAGGCACATCAGATACTTTTCAGCAAATTAAGCTGCCATCTCATTTTAGTTTTTTTACCTTGCACAGGGATGACAGCACTGTGGGCTTGAAAGTTGGCGAAGGTTTCAACTAGATTTTACACTCCTCCTATATTGTCATTTCACTGTGTGCTGAAAACAAATTTTCACCATCGGTAAATAAAAGTGCTGGCTAGAACCAGTGTATTACGCAACTCAAGGGATTTTATGATAACACAAGCGTTGCCTCACAGGGTATTTCTTCCCGCTGTGCACAGCCAGCAATAGAGCTGTGGGGCAGTAAGGTGGCTATTGCTTTCCCTCAAGGGCAGTCTTTTTGCTGTCATTTCCTCTCAGGAAATATCTTCCTCTTTTTGTTCCCACAGAAGGAGATAAATGAGGCTGTTGCTCTGTAATCTCACGGGGACAAAGACAAGGTGACTCACTGCTCAGAAGGAAACTTTGGATGAGGTCTCTCGCCTGCCACCATTGTGCCCTGCCACCCTGGGTAATTCTAGCACGAAACCAAGGACCAGCCAAGCCACATGTGTCATTAGAAGACACACACGGCCATGGAGCAAACTGAACAGAACCCAAACGCTACTGTCAACCTCAACTTTGCTGCAATCTACAATCTCTATGACGGGGATTTAACCTCCTTGCGAAACTTCTCCTTCCCTTTCAATTTCAGTTACAGTGATTATGACCTGCCGCTGGACAGTGAAGATGACATGACCAAAACCCGCACCTTCTTTGCAGCCAAGATTGTCATCGGGGTGGCTCTGGTTGGCATCATGCTGGTCTGTGGCATTGGCAACTTCATCTTCATTGCTGCTCTCGCCCGCTACAAGAAGCTGCGAAATCTCACCAACCTGCTGATTGCCAACCTGGCCATCTCAGACTTCATTGTGGCCATTGTGTGCTGCCCCTTCGAGATGGACTACTACGTGGTGCGGCAGCTCTCCTGGGAGCACGGCCACGTCCTCTGTGCCTCAGTCAACTACCTGCGGACCGTCTCCCTCTATGTTTCTACCAATGCTCTCCTGGCTATAGCTGTTGACAGGTAAGTGGGGCGCTATGTCTGCATGGCAGATGCCACCAAATGCCAGGCTGCTGAGGTTGGCTGTCCAGATTTCTAGGTTCCTAACATGCTCAGCTGCTCTGCAGGATTTGTGGATGGCCCAGGTACGTACTACACAGACCTGGGTATCTTGTTTCCTAAAAACGGAATCACACAATGTCATGACATTACCTCAGAGAAAACTCAGTGGAAATTTCTTGATTGAACTTTTTGGGTGAAAAAAAAGTTGATTTATTAAAAACACTTTTTTCCCCTCACAAAAATATGCTTGATTCAAGTGTAGGAGAGGATTTATGAAATAAGAGACAGAGGAGAAAGAGAGACAAAGCAGAAACACCCAGAGTTGAGGGTGTTATCAGCACTATATAATCCTGATCCAAACCATACATCTCTAAGGAACCTTCACTACTGGCCCACACAGCTTTTCTGATTCTAACCTTTTCTATAGACACTGAAGTAAATACTCTGCAGCAAAAGAAATAGTTGACTGGTGATACAGAATTTGACAGGTGAGTTTCCAACAGGATTACTGCCTTACAGGATATTTCTTTCTCCCTCTATGATATTTTCCCCAGTTTTCATTCTGGTAGACAAGAGAGTAAAATATAAGACTTCTCTCTACCTTGCAAAACAGAGTTCTTATTATTATCTGTTGTGCTGAACTGAGAAAACCCAACAGTCATTAAATTAACCATTTGACAGTACCAAGGTCTTAGCTGGATGCTCCAACACAGAAGTGGGTGCTCAGTGATTGTGGCCAGCACTCTCCTCTCCATTAAAATACTCCCATATTCTCCTCTCTCTTTACACACCTCTCTGAGGATGGCACAGTGGCAAGCCAGGAAGAACCCACCGGTCATTATGGCACCCGTGTCTATAGCACTATCCAGAAAATGACAAAATGCTACACCAACCCAGTTTGGCAGAGATTTTCCTACAGCCCTCATAAGGGGGTAAGCAGAACATAATGATACCCACCTGCTATACCATCTCCCTCATGCTGCAGTCCTGAGATATTTCTATGCCTGCCTCTCACTCCAGGAATTTTAACAATATAATTTAATTGTATGCTTTCTCATGACTCCTCTCAGCCTCGTGCAGCGCGGACTCTGACGGACCAGGCACTGAGCTTCATGCTGACATAAACCTGACACGACTGACTCACAGAAAGCCAGAGACCCACAGAGCAAACTCTTTACTGAAAGGCCATGAAAACAAGTCATCTTTTGTGTGCAAACACAACACACATCTCTGTATACCCTCTGCATATAGACATATACACATTCCCACTCCTCCTTCCCTCTTTTCCCAATTTCTCTCATGTGCCATTTTATGCTCTAGTTTAATGCATAGTTTCTGGTACCTGATCCAAAAGACAGCTCAGGAGCAGTTAACCCTGCTGATGGTTGTACAGATACAGCTTGTGCACTGCTGATTCTGCTGTCATTGATGTCAACACAAGTCTATGGGAAGACTCTGGGGGAGTCCAGATATGTTTTGCCTGGTGTGAGGGAAAGGACAATCAGCTGCTATGAAACAAATTCTTAACAAGTGTCTAACAAAAGAGCCTTTGAACAGCAACTGAGCACTCAAGGTTAAGTTTCTAAACACCACCATGTATGCATTACCATTTTCTATTACTTATCCTTTTCAGTTTATTTCTAAAAACTTTTCCTGGAAATCTCTGCTAGTGCATCATAGGTTGATGAAGTAACATGGGTCACTGAGCCCTTGTGCCTGCTAAGAAATCACAAGATTTCTAACATATCTCCCCAAGTATCTTTATAAACAAACCTGGAAATGATTAATCACTGAAGTTTGTTCTAAGAACACACAGGTTTAGTTCCAGCGCCTTTTTTTTTTTTTAATAATTTTTTTATTGTGAGCTTTTGACTTGGTAAACAGAGAGAAATGCTGTTCATTTAATAATCAACCATTCCACACTGGCTATGTCATGTGTGTTGTTGACTTCGGTCTCTAAAAATAATAGGCTCTTAACAAAAGTCTTTTCGTGTTTAGATCATTTAAAAGGGCTCACGTGTGTAGACAGAGTAAGCCTGTCCCACAGGATTTGCCTCCGGTAGGGCTCTCTTTCATCTTCCTTGCTGTCTATTCACATGAAATGTAGGAGTTCCACATATTTAAGGCCACATCTACACTAGAAAATAATGTGAAAGGAGAGGATCTGAAGAGCAGCAGTTGGTGCTAAGGGTACAACATTCATGCTGTAAGTATTCGGGGGGGATTTAGCTTTAGCTGGGTCACCTGGACTGAATGCCCATGGGCACCTGGTACTTTTGAGTACATCCTCCAGGGCAGTTTCATCCAAACTCAGCTCATGTGCTCCAGGACCACTCCACAGTAACATCCCAAGTGTGGTAAGCAAGGACAGTCAGGAAATCCACCACAAAACCTCCCTCGACTCTCTTGCAGACATTTACCCCAACCAGCCAAATGTCCTGCTGAGCAGCTATGCATACTTATGAATGCATACATATACATTGTCCCACAACATTGTTTCCACAGGGCCCAATCTAAAAACATTCATTTATCAGCTCCACAATGAGGCTGACTAATTCTGCTGTCCCTTAACATCTAGCCTGCACCATTAAGAGCGATGAATAATTCATCTGCTTCCAAGATCTGGCTGATAGAAAGCACCACTGGCCTTCCAGCTTATTTTAGAATTAATAGGTCCTGTGGATGCTACCTATGTATAGAATATATACAGATAGAAAAGCCTCTGAATGAATAAGAAATTCCACTGAAACAATTCTTTGTGTTAAACACAATTGTATTGGGATCTCTGGAGTGCCCCGGATAAAAATCTCCTTTTAGCACAAGTATCCTAATCTTTCGGGACAGTGTACTCTCATATAAGTCCTTCTTACATATATAGCGTCTTAAAAAAATAAACCTCCTCAAATTCCAACCAAACAAAAAATTCACCAGAGTGAATTCCATTTGGTCCTACCCCTTCTGAACTGAACTGAGGAAAATTGATGGATCTTGAAAGTAATACACTTTTATTTCTCCTCAGTCCTTTGTGAAACACTTCAGTGCACCCACAGCTTTACAGTCATAAAGAGTGCAAATACCTAACTCAAGTTTCATGGTTTGGCCTTAACAAAGCATATTTAAGGTTAATTAGCAATAGTCGACTCAGCAGACAAAACAAAAATTTGCATGGGCAGAAAATGGATACACAGTCCTTTGTTGGTGGCTTCAAAGCATGCTCACCTGTAACCATTCATTAGCATCAGCCGTGGCTCTTTGCACCCATGGAATAGCCAAGAAAATAATAAAAACACTGTTACATATATTTGATCTCTTGGTAAAAAAAAGCATATTTAAATAGTTCTCTGCCTAGGGAAAACCTTTTTGTGTTTCTATGTGTTTGTCTTTTTACCTGCACCTGGCCAGGTGTATATTACTGCATGTTTCAAACTCTCATTTGAACACGTGCTGCCCACCAAAGAATTTCCAGATGCTGTGTCACGGTATGTCCTCGATACGACACCGTGTGTTGTGCTAGGCCCTGCAAACACATTTGTCAGTAATAGGAAAGCTCCCTCTCTTTCTCCTCTTCCAGTCTTTCCATAACTCCCAGACATGTGATCTGTGTTAACAAGCAGCTTACGATGCAAAATTGCAACTTTTTCAGTTCAGCCTTATAAACAGGAGGGAGTTGGACTGAGGTCTTAAAACGATCCTCAGACACCCTAATGCATGCTCAGATTTTCAGATTGCCAAGTACCCACCCTCCTAACAAACCCTTCAGCCCCTTGCTCCAGGGTTTCTGCCCAGATTTAGGACTCAGATCTAGGCTCTTACTTTGGAAAATTTTCTTAACTCTCCTCATAGACAAGTTGGCCAGGCACTCTCTTTTATGAATGACAGCAATTCCCTTCTGCCCAATTCTGTCCACTTGGAATTGTGTTCTGACTGTCTTCAGACTTCTTTTTGGATGTATTTGTCTGTTCCAGGTATCTGGCCATTGTTCACCCACTGAAACCACGCATGAATTATCAAACAGCAACCTTCCTAATCGCCTTGGTCTGGATTGTCTCCATACTTGTAGCTATTCCATCTGCATATTTTGCTACTGAAACGGTGTTATTTATAGTGAAAAACCAGGAGAAAATATTCTGTGGACAGATTTGGCCAGTTGACCAGCAGATGTACTACAAATCATACTTCCTCTTTATCTTTGGCATTGAATTTGTTACACCTGTCATTACGATGACCTTGTGTTACGCCAGGATATCGCGGGAACTCTGGTTTAAAACCGTACCAGGATTTCAGACAGAACAGATCAGAAAGAGGCTTCGATGCAGAAGAAAAACTGTTATGGTACTGATGTGCATCCTGACTGCCTACGTTCTCTGCTGGGCACCCTTCTACGGCTTCACAATTGTCCGTGACTTTTTCCCCACCATCTTCGTGAAAGAGAAGCATTATCTTACTGCTTTTTATATAGTTGAATGCATTGCTATGAGTAACAGCATGATAAACACCATGTGTTTTGTAACTGTAAAAAATAACACCATGAAGTATTTCAAGAAGATCATGTTACTGAGATGGAGATCGACATATAATGGAAGCAAATCTAGCACTGATTTCGACCTGAGAACAAGTGCAATGCCAGTCACAGAGGAGGTAGACTGCATAAAACTGAAATAAATTTTCTGCAGTTTGAATCTCACATATTTCGGAGAGGGGCTAAAGAGGAAATAATGCCTTCTCAGAAGCCTCTCCCTTGTCTGTGGGAATACCCACCATTGGTGAGAGACCTCTAAAAGCAGCCTACTATGCGTTTCCACCAGAACTCTTTTCACTGGACTGCTGTATAACCCCATAACTCAGACTGATGCTGTGCTTCAGTTCACCCATCTGTAAATCTGGGAGGTAGATACTCATTTTACAGTTGTTTAAAATTTAAGATGAACAAAAAAGTCTATGAATGCATTAAAGCATATTACAATGATGTAAGAGTTGATTGCTGATCCTAGAAATGATGCCTCTTTGTTTCTTCTTAAGAGAAATCTCTTAATCCCTTGGACCTTATCATTTGTACCTTTAAGATATTTGGTGTCCTTTTCCTTCTGCTCGTAAGAGGAAGGAAGGCAAAAAAAGCCCAGTTTGCTTCATGTCACTCTTTATCCTCTCAGTTTACCCCTCATGATGAAGCTCCTCAAAGTCTACAGACCACCAGCTTTCTACAGTCCAATGTGCAGCATGCTCTTAATGAAAGGCACATTCTCTACAAAGGTAAATACTGCTTCACAGTCCAGTGAAAACCTCATCTCTTCCTGTGACACCTTGCTTAAAAATATTTCTTCAACATTCCACTCTGTAGTTTTATGTAGAGTGTTGACTCTGTTTATTATGTATTTGGAAATGGCACGGCTACATCTTGAAGGGATCTGTTACCTTCTCTCACCTCCAGGCTATGGCCAACTTCTGCTGCCTTGATTCGCTGAGCTCTTCAAAGAATCAATCACAAAATCACAGAGGTGGAGAACAGCAACTCCAGATTGTCTAGTCCACCCCTCTGCTCAAGCAGGGTCAGCTAGAAGAGGTTGCCCAGGATTGAGCCCAGCTGGGCTTTGACTGACTCCAGGGATGGAGACTCCACAGCCTCCCTGGACCACCTGTGCCAGTGTTCAACAGTCCTTGCAGTAAAGAAGGGTTTTCTTATGTTCGGATGGAATTTCATGGGTTTCAACTTGTGTTTCAACTTGGTTTGCAGAGGGACCCATATAAAACTACAACATGCTAGTGGGAAGAAAAACACCCTGCTGAATCAGATCTAGACATTTTACCAGGCCTGTGTACAACTTCAAAATAAAGTACAAGTAGGGCCAAAATAGCATAGAGATCTTGAGATGATCTGTCTTTCTGCAACCAATGGAGACAGACTCTAGGCTTCCACAAGCCAGTCAGTGGTTGAGTTGAGTAGCTCATTGTCTGGTCAAAGGTGAGGCAACAACTCAAGATGAATTGTGCATTGCTTCCCCCAGAGCTGTTTTTACTATTCTGATTTTATGCAACTCCAGGATGGGTGTATCTTAACTGATAACTGTGATAAAGCAGGTGACAGTAGCAGTAATACCTACTCATTTAAACTACACATAAGATATCATGGACTTCTGTGTACTGAAATCAAGTCTTTTATATCGTGATGGCAAATGCTTCCTGTTTTAAAGTATGTGGTACCACCTACTTTTGGAGTAAATGGCTTTTGTAAATAATTGGTCTATTTGTGTACTTAAAGTGAGAAACAAATCCTGCTAATAAAACAGTAAACACGGAGTAAATATCAACATTGTGAACTATGTTTTACATTTTCCCCTTAGCCACAGTTTTCCTACTCAAGCGACTAATGTCAATTCTCCCATTTCTGCTAAAGAAAAACTACCGGGCCGACCAATTAAGTTTAATGCAAAAGGATATTCAAATCCATTAAAGTGCTCAAATCCTCTCATCATTAGTTGCTCTTAAAATATACACGTTGGAAAGGGTATCAACATTTCCTCTGTTAGGCAAAACAATTACTGAAATCATTCTTCAAACGGCAGTTTAGAATAGGGGTAAGTACTAAATCCATTTGTTTCCCAGCATGCCAAAGAAATTTAAAGGACCAGAGAGTTGCAGGATTCCATCATCAAGAGGCTTAGCCTTGGAGTTTCTCTTGAAATCTCAGGGTTTCTTCTGAAACTGCACCCATATTTATCTCCTGAAACCTGCACTAGTTATTGGGGATTAGCTAGCAATACTACCTGTTATTAGAGTGTCCTGATATTCCTTTCACCTATTTTTCCTAGACTTTTCCTGGTGCAACAAAGCCAAACAAATGACAACTTTCCACACGTGGAAATCTACCTCAGGCTGAGTTATTAAAAAAATAAAAAGCTCATCCCCCACCAAGCAATATAGTGCCAAGCAAAAACCGGGGAAAGAATCACTTTACATTCCTGGAAATCATGTTGAGAGCTCCAAGAGACCTCTTCTGGTCTGGCCTGCCCAGTGTTCTCAGACATCACCACATCCCTGTCCCTGAGAAGGGTAGTAAAGCAGCAGCTGCCACAGCCCCTTTTGTGGATTTAGGTTTGGGGGTCCGCAACATTGCTGTATTTTGACATTTTGGGGTCTTCTCAGCAGCAAAGCAGTGTTTCAGCCTGAGTGACTGGATAGGGCAGGAGAAAAAGCTGTGCTTTGCCCTCAGCTGCATTTGTTGTGAGCAGCATCCCCAGAAAGAGGGGGATTCCTACCCAGGAAGGGTGGCGGTCTCCTGTTCCCTGATCAGAGTAGCCAAGTAAGTCCCTAGCCTGTGTCTGCACAACTCCAAATACCAAAAAATGGTCACGGGCTTCACTTTCAGGGACCAATGTCTGCTCCTAAACTGAGCTCCAGCACCAGGGGCCCAGGCAGCGAGCCCAAGGGCCTTGTATGGGGACAGAAACCCCATGGAGGATTTTTGTGCCCACGGAACTGATTTCATCAAGGGAGTAATGGGGTACATTACCTAGGGGTACCTACATTGGCCAGGGCCTGCCTGCCACCCATGACTACACTTAAATGGAGAATTTAGAATACTCTTAAAGACACTTTAAAACTCCCTTTACGTGCAGAAGTGTGCAGCTGGCCAGGTCCTGACCTGAGTGGCTCCCTCAGGCAGCAGGAAACAGACAGTCCAACCAGAGCAGCCGAGGGAGGGGGCCAGACCCCACGCTCCCCATAGTGACTTGTGCAGGAAAAATTAAAAATAACAGAAAGGCTTTTTTGTACCCACCCACACAACTCAGGCTAGGGAGTGTAGGTGCTCCAGAGATGGGTGCTCCCTTGGCTTCCTGTCAGGTGGGGGCTACCCTGCTGCCTCCTGCCCAGCTGCTCCCTGCAGAAACGCCTTCACACTTACACTGACTGGCAACACTTACTGAGGGAATTGAATATGGATCGCACCTACCTGAAGCTTTGCTTGCAAGAGCCATGCTTAAACAGAGAAAGAAAAGCACAAGCTGGAAGGCAGCATTTGTCACAGAGGAGAAGCAGCCCCTTCCAGCACAAGCTCTTACACACTGGAAGGCACTAAAAACTGCAGCGAGACCTCCACAGCCATCAGCTGCCTGCTGTTAGCTCCACTGGCACAGCAGCAATAAGGACTTCACCATGCAGGAACTGTGGGACATGTAAGGACAAGCAGTAGGTGGGGGTGAGGTATCATCCTCCTGAGAGCTGTCAGCAGGGTTTAGATAACCATGCAGTGAATAACCAAGTCTCAGCTGTGGCTTGCTCCAATTTTTATTGCCAAAAGCAAAAATGTAGTGCTATCATGCCGGATTCTAGCTCAGCTGTCCTCCTGTGGCACAGCTCCCAAAACCATAGGCTTGTTTCTTTCTGCAGCAGCTCCTCCAGGGATAACTGAAGGTAAAATCCAGTCCCTGCTCCTTCACACTGGCTCTCTGAAAAACAAAAATCCCCAGGTGTAACTAGAAACTAAAATGGTAACCCTGAACAACCAAGAGAGGATTAAGAAAAAGCAGTTATTCTCAGCAACAGGCACTGAGAAAATAAAGTATGTATTTTAATAAAGCAAGAGCACGGAAAGAAACTCCAACCATTGCCCCTCTACCAAAGGAGGATGGCCTGCAAGACCCCAGACTGGGTCACAGTAGCCAGGCCATGAGATTTCCCTGAGGGCTGACTGACTCAGCAGCTCAGACTTAACTGAGCTCCTTCTTTTCTGAGCCTGGCCGCCTTTCCTGTGGCAACAGCACCCTCCAGCTGCTGCCTCTGCAGCACAGCATCATACGCCTACTGCACTGCCCTGGAAACTGCACCACCTCGCACCAGCTACCTTGGTGACAGGGACATACAGATATTCCCAGGATTCCTGGGCCTCCAAAAAGTAGCAACAGATGCTCCAGCTTTTGTCACTCAGGCACTTAGGCACTTACCCCTCACTTCTGGTGTCTGAATTCTCCCCGTGTCGGCAGGGCTGTGACTCTCACTGGGTGCTTGGGCTACCCCCTTTCAAAACACTGGATATCATCTGCGCCGAAAAAACAACACCATTAAGCAGAAGCAAGCAGAATTGAGAGACAAGACAAGAAACTACTCCCTTGGACTCACCAGAGAACCTCTTCTCTCTTACGCTCTGTTAGGATCCTGTTCTATAGACTCCACCCTAACACATGTTGCCGGGAACAGTCCCCAAACCACCGATGAGACGGGCAGCACTGCAGCTTCCAAAGCGACCATCCAGAGCAAGAGGAGGAGGAACAAAACCTGATATAAAGCCACCACAGGAATCCTGAATAATAAGAACCAACACTGAGCACTAAGTTGCTCAAAGCACAAAGTCACCTCCCTCAAAACCAGGACTGGGTAAAACTGACAGAAGAGAAGACACAAAGATGGTCACAGTCCCCAGAAAATGACACCCCTGAGCTCAAAAGACCACCAAGGAACATAAGAAGCCCATGTAAACTCATCAACCTGCTCATCTGCTGGTTCCAAAAGAAAAACATGGAAGGTAACAGACAGAAAGCATGCATCACAGAAAACATGTTGAGGCACAGCAATTAAATCTGGGGGTGTAGCACTCCAAAAAAGCCAAATGCTGAAACGCTTCAAAGAAGCTGCGAGGTGGGCAACTCCAGAAAAGACACCCAGTGAAGTGCTCCAGACAGCAGGGTGATGAAGGGCTACTACAGGGCCACGCGTTGAAGAGCTCCAATAAAAGACAGGTGCGGAAGCGCTCCAAAATGGCGAGGCAGTGAAGCACTGCTCCACGATGGTGCCATTAAGCACTCCAACATACACCAGGCATTGCAGAAATCAAGAAAAAAGCCACAGGGTGAAACCCCCCAAAACCAGCCATGTGGTGGATGTCTCCAAAAAAGCCCAACAGGGCAGTGTTCCCCAAAAGAACAGGTACTGAAGGACACCCTCCAGGGCTCCCTGGAGAAACACTCTGAAAAATCACAGGTGATGAAGAGAGCAGGAGAGTCAGACAGTGAACAAACCCCTAAAGCAGGGTGGTGAAGGAACCCTCCAGGAGGCTGTGATGAACAACAAGACCTGGGTGGCGCAGTGAAGGACTCCAGAAAAGACAGGTCACACAGAGAAAAGCTACTCCAGGGTGGCAAAGAGAAGGACACCCAAGAACAGCTGGGCAGCACAGGAAGGACTTGGGTTGCACAGTGCAGGACTCCCAAAAAGAGGCAGGCAGCGTCATGCAGGCCTTGTCAGGGGTGGCACAGTGACAAACTCCAAGAAGAGCCAGGAGGGGCACTGAAGAGTTCCTCCAGACTGGCATGATGAAGGACCCCCGCAGTGTGGCCTGATGAAGGACTCCTCCAAAGGGCCTGGGAGGTCTCCTCTGGGGGACAATGACAAAGTACTCCAAGAAGAGTCAGGTGCACAATGAAGGACTCCTAACGGGCAGCATGGTGAAGGGCTCCTCCGCGGAGGTGCTATGACAGGCTCCTTTGACACAGCACAATGAGGGGCTCCTCTCAGGGCAGCACAGTGTAGGGCTCTTCTGGGGCAGCGTGACAAAGGCTCCAAGAAGAGCCGACAGAACACTGAAGGGCTCCTCCAAGACTGCACATAGAAGAGTTACTCCAGGTGGCATGATGAGGGAGTCCTCTGGGGCGATGCAAGGAG